GTATAATTTGGTATTGTGTTCACAGAACTATAAATGTTTATGACTATATATTGAGTAACCCAGCTATATAACTAAGCCTGTGGAATACCTACATAGAAAGTCACTTTCACAAGGTGCTTACCATACTTATTTTATAATTGCAAAAAGTCCAAAGCTACTGATAAGTCTTAGAATGAGGAGCAGATCAGTTAACTGCATTGTAATCACTGAAGGGAGTATTGTAATTTTATTTTGAATTGATGGTAACAAAGACTATATAATATAGCAACTTCAAATTAATCTGATTTAAAATAAATAAAAAAGGCACTATGTAAAATAGGCATGTCAAAAAGACTATAGGAAAATATACAGATGGCTTTTTTTTTTTTTCAGGTGATAGGAAAGTGACTTTCTATTCCTGTTTAAATTTTATTGTGTCTTTTAATTTAGAAACTTGACAACATAAGAATTTGCAATTCTCATTGGAATTCCTTTTGTTCCCTTTCAGATGTGAATCTGGTTACACTGGACAGCACTGTGAAAAGACAGACTTTAGTATTCTCTATGTAGTGCCAAGTAGGCAGAAGCTCACTCATGTTCTTATTGCAGCCATTATTGGAGCTGTGCAGATTGCCATCATAGTAGCGATTGTCATGTGCATAACAAGGTAGGTAATGATGTAAGAAATGTCAGCTCTCATCTGCAGGGTGGGCTGTAGGCTGGGGCTATTTGCCATGCACAAGGCCCTGGGCTCAGTCTCCAGCACACACACACACACACACACACAGGACAGCTGTCTTTCTCTCCTTCCCTGTTATATCCCATGTACTCACTATAGTAGTGCCCAGCACCTAACAGGTACTCAATAAATGTGTCAGATGGGTATGTGAGTGAGTCAGCATGTGGGGCCACTTAATGAGAGTACCTGTGGAGGTTATGTGGAATGGAAGAAGTAGAGGGTAGAGGACTGAACCCCCGATCTGCCCTTAATGACAGAAGAAGAAATAATTACTTAGAACTTAATACTCTAGATATTAGAGAGTGTGGCTGAAAGTCAGTTATGGAAAATAATATCCAGGGAGGATTACTTGAATGATATCCGGCCTAATGATTCTTTTTGATACTGATTTTAATCTTTGGACTAAACTAATCCATCTGAGAGCTGCATATCTAGGACATGGTTATAGCTCTCTGTGGAACTATTTTGATTTTACTGAGCTTTGACTCTTGGCCATTAGCCTACCATGAAGGGCATTATTTTTAAAATCCCAAGACTTCATTATGTTATTGAATTTACTGTAGCTATGTCATTGAGGTTACTGTTCTCTATATTAGAAGGTGCTATCTTTAAATGAGGACCAAATAAGAGGAAATTCCCTTGAGTTTAATAACGGTTGTAAATGTGCTTATTTGAAATGACTTGTTTGCTTTTATTTTATGGAAATTACTTTTTGTGTCAGTGGCCAACCTCTCTGCCTCCTCCTTCCCTTGTTTTAGAACATTTTCATCACCTCAGAAAGAAATCCCATTTCCTTTAGCTGTTGCTCTCAACTCTTCCTATTTATGCCAGTCCTAGACAGCCCCTGATCTGTTTAATGGATTACTTATTCTGAACATTTCTGTATCATTTCTTTTACTTAGTTGATGGTTTTAAGCTTTATCCATATTGTACTATGTCTGAGCACTTTGTTCCTTTTTATGGCTGAATAATCTGTGGGGAATACCACATTTAAAAAAATCCACTCCCCAGTTGAATGTTTGGGTTGTTTACACATTTTGGCTCTTAGGAATAATGCTGTTGTGAGCAATTGTTTGCAAGTTTTTGTGTGGACATATGTTTTAATTTCACTTGGGTAGATGCCTAGTAGTAGAATTGTCAGGCCAAATAGTAAACTCTGCATTTAACTTCCTAAGTAAGGAAAGCCAGACTTTTTTTTTTCCATAATAATTGCACCATTTTATATTCCCTACAGTGTTCTTCCTTACTAACATTTGTGATCATCTGACTTTTAGATTCAGGCCCCATACTATGAGTACAAAAAGATATCTTATTGTGGGATTGATTTGCATTTCCACAGTGACTAATGATGGTGAATATCTTGTGCTTATTGGTTATTTGTATGTCTTCTCTGGAGAAATGTCTGTATAGATCTTTTGCCTACTTCTGTTTTTTTAATATTTTTTAGTCGTCAGTGGATCTTGTATTTTATTTATTTATATGAGGTACTAAGGATCGAACCCAGGGCCTCACACACGCCAGGCAAGTGCTCTACCCCTGAGCAACAACCCCAGTTCCATTTGCCCATTTCTTAATTGATTTAAGTTTTTTGTTTGTTTTTGTTTTTTGGTCTTCTTATTATTCTTTATATGTTCTGGGTATAAGTCCGTTATCAGATATATAAAAAAAATTTGCAATTTTTTTCTGACTTTTTGGGTTATCTTTACATTTTCTTGATAGTTTCCTTAAGCACAGAAGATCTTAATTTTAATTTAGTCCAATTTATCTTTGTTATTGTAGTTATCGTTGCTGTTGCTTTTGGTGTCACATATGAGAAATTACTGTCCGATCTGAGGTCACAAAGATTTACCCCTATATTTTCTTCTAGAAATTTTATAGCTTTAACTCTTAGATTTATGATCCATTTTGAGTCAGTTTTTGTGTATATTGGAAGGAGGAGGCTTTGTTCGTTTCCATGTGAGTATCCAATTGTCCCAGCATCCTTCTTTCCCCATTGCATTGTCTTAGTATTCTTGTCAAAAATCAGTTGGCTATAGATTTGTGGCTTTATTTCTGGGTACTCAGTTCTACTGTCTGAGCTGTGTCTGCCTCACTACTGTTGTCTGTCTTGTCTGCTTGGAAGCTTAGAGCCCAATGTGAAACTTCCTGACAGGTGTCCAGGATCCTCAGGGACTGGGCTGGTAAACTCATATCACCCTGGCTTTCCTTGTTTCCTTTTGTTTCTGGTATTGTAATGTGGGCTTTAGGCTAAGCTGCCTCAAATCCTTTTCTAACAAGGTCTGGGACATCAATAAATACACACACTGTCCTTACACATCACATATTTGATTAATCAGTTCAAACAGAAGCTTGGCTAATTTATACGCTTCACTTCTGTCAACTTACCAATGTGAATTTTCTGTTCAATATCTTAAATATTCCCCCCTTTTAAAGTATCAGCCAATGATGTTGCCTTTGTATTTACTTTTTTAAAAGTTTTTTTAGTTGTCAATGAACCTTTAGATTTATTTATTTATATGTGGTGCTGAGAATCGAACTCAGTGTTCACACATGCTAGGCAAGTACTAAACCACTGAGCTACAACCCAGCTCCTATATTCACTTTTAATTAGAGTTCAGATCATTTCTAAGCTTAGTGCCTACTTGACTGCTTTGCTCTGTTTGTCATTAATAACTTATTTTCATCTCCTTCCTGCATCTTAAATGTTTGTGCTTCGTATAC